TCTAATGACGATAAACAAAAATTTTAAGAATCGTTTTAAAAACTGGACAAATAATATTGTCACCAACACAAGGAATTTCGAAACTGTACAAGATAAAAATTAATGACGCAAAACTAAGAATTGAAGCAAAATGAGTGGTAAAACCGTAAAATAAAAACACATAATTGTGGGCTCACCTTGAATATGTGGATTATTGTGCTGCCATCAGGATAGGTGGGAACAAGAACCTGCCTGGATAGTACAAAATATGTAAAACAACGAAAGATCGAGTGAGAAGACGAAGAATCCAAGTTGACATGAAGATAACACACAAAAAACGAAAGTTTTGCTGGTGCAACAAGAATATCGAGGTTTCATTGAAACTAGTAGACATTTTTTAAACCATTTGCAACCTTCATTTGATGCTTCTGTGATTCATGTGATGAAAATTGCGTTTTCTTATCTTTATTTCTTATAACTTGGTTGCGTTTTCAAAAGTAATTTGCTTAACACAATGTTTAGTCAACTATGCCAATTTTTTCTCATACCACCATTAACTTTGCGGCCTATCAATAATCATAGACAAATCAATTAATATCGGTGGCCTTCTTGCAATCGCTTTGATCATTGACCACATATGTATGTACCAAATGGATTAGTTGGTTTTACACTCGAATGGAGCCATTTGTTTATTAGCGATTTTCATTCGATCAAATGGTTTTACCTTGGTTGTGCGCGATTGTACAATACTATATACATCTCGTGCTCGTTGACCTACACTAGCTGAACAAAACGACATTTTAAATGTAACGGCTGATCACCCGAAAAAATTTCCTCCATTGTATTCTAATAGGTCACTTCCGGTCATTCATTCACAATGCAATCAATTAGGGGACGGTTTTTATAGCCACACATTCAGGTTGCTTTCATTCGAAGCAACAAATCCTATAGAATTCAGAGCTCAAAATGATTTTTTCTGCTTTATTTTAATAGCAAGTCATCAAATCATCATCAAGGCAATCAACATGGAACAAGTGGAGAGAAATTTGAGTTCAAAATAATACGTTTTATACAAGGCGATATCTAGAAAATTTTGTTATTTCAGCTTATGTGTTAATTTTGGAATTAGGTGGAGGTAAGAACGTTGCTCTTAGAATGTAGCAATAGTTTTCGATTATTTTCTTCAAATAGACTCAGATATCAAATAAAAAATTTTGCGTTAATTTGGATTTTTTCGTTTTTGACAAAGTCCACAAATGCCTAACTTTTTCGCAATCCCAGCGATCACGTATACTTATGGTTTTCCATAATGAAGATCATCAAACGGGCGCCGCCCTGTATTATGTCTCTTTATTCTAATATTTTTACTGTTTTGAGTGTTTTGTAATGTTAATAAATACTTCAAAAGTTATTCTCATTTTTTTAGCAATTATATTTACTTTGTGGTGTGATCAGTTTGGTTTCACTTTGCAAATTCTTATTTAACCCAAATAACCCGAATCATTTTTACATCAAACAAGACAATTAAGAAGAAAATTAAACTTTAGGCAAGTATATTGGTAACTTGTCTAAAAATAAGTGATCTGGAGCCAACAGCAGATTAAAATTTTACATTTAACTACACAATTTTATTTATTAAAAAAACCACTTGAAAATCCATTATTTTAGAATTAAACCCTGTAGAACGCGCAACTAAATACACTAATTCAAACCATTATACTCTTTTTGTTCATGAAGCAGCTTCCCATTCATTGCTGTTTTGTTCGAGTTGAGTATCGAGTTTAGTGTACCACAACAGTCACAAATCATGCGACTTCTAATAAACCATTAAAAATTAAACAGCCAGGCGTTTGACGTTTTCATATTGTGCCATCAGCAAGGCATAAATGATAATTTTTAATTATTTCAACAATTGGAATGTCACCGTTCATTATTTAGTACCTTCATACCCAGAAGAGTTAATAAACTAAAAAAATGAAGAAACGCGTTACGGACTCATCATTGCGGACTGAATTAGCATGCCTTGTCTTGTAACTTAGTTAAGTGAATATCCATAAAAGTGCACTAAGAGGTTCTAAGGCTCTGCAATTGCATATGAGGAATAATTGAAATATGTAAATCTATTTGAAGACCAGAAGCATAACTTTCAGTGCGAACAATAAAATTTTAAAATGTAAATGATTCGAAGGCTACTTTTTGGGTTTATTTAAGAAATATGAATAGTCATAAACTTGTGTGCAAAATTCGGTTTAGCTCAATTGCTTCAGTGAAAAAGTGAGTGTATAAAAAAAACACTACAAACTTAAGAAAGCAAGTTTTGAAGCACACAAAATGACCTCAGAAGATGAATAACAGAAAACCTAGAATCCTAAGAGTAAAATTCAATTACGGGAGCAATTGATATATTCGACGAATTTTTAAAGTGAGAAAAAAAAGTGAAAATACTATTAAAACAGACCCGGATAATAATTGTTCATGCAGCAACGTGGATTAAATTATTATTATGATTTACTAGAAAGTTTTCGAGTTAAGCCCAATTACCAATTAATTTCTCTTCGGAATAATGGAAAAATCAGCGTTCCTGCTCATTTTGCTTCCGAGAAATGAGCAAAAACGGAACTAAAATCATGAAATTTTGGCATAATCTTGCACCTAAATGTCTGATATGCAAATTTCGCTTTCTGGGTTAAAACTACTGAAATTTTCTCACTCATGTTGTTATCCCTGGATAGAATTTCCAATTTGCTATACAACGATGCCAAAACGAAATCTGTAGCTTAAATGATTCTTGAGAAACTCCTAAGAAAGCAGCGTCATGTTTGAGTCGATTTTGCAACTCAAAAAAAGACGTAAATCTAAAACTTCTTGAAATCACGACTTTTTTAAGGAAACTGCCAACAACTCCTTATCGATGGTTCACTTTCTAAAAAACCCATTTATTTCTCTCTGGAATGATGAAAAAATTAGCGTTCCTGCTCATTTTGTTTCCGAGAAATGAGCAAAAACGAGACAAAAAACATGAAATTTTGGCATAATCTTGCACCTAAGTGTCTGATATTCAAATTTCGCTTTCTCGGTCAAAACTACTGAAATTTTCTCACTCCTGTTGTTATCCCTGGATAGAATTTCCAATTTTCTATCTAAAGATGCCAAAACGAAATCTGTAGCTTAAATGATTCTTGAGAAACTCCTAAAAAAGCAGCGTCATGTTTGAGTCGATTTTGCAACTCAAATAAAGACGTAAATCTAAAACTTCTTGAAATCAAGACTTTTTTAAGGAAACTGCCAACAATTCCTTATCGATGGTTCACTTTCTAAAAACCCCATTTATTTCTCTCTGGAATGATGAAAAAATAAGCGTTCCTGCTCATTTTGCTTCCGAGAAATGGGCAAAAACGGGACGAATAACATGAAATTTTAGCATAATGTTGCACCTAAGAGCCTGATATTCAAATTTCGCTTTGTAAGAGTAGTAAATTAATAAAATTGCGGAAATATTTTCTTCAAGTACAGTTTTGCGTTTGAATTCACGGTAGTACGTTCGGAAGCAACAATTTTAAGATATCTTTTGCGTCCAATACTACGGTTATTTTATAACATTGTCCATTTTTTTTAGACCCCGAATACTGTACTAATTTGAAGGAGTTTATAAAGGAAGAAATTATTTTCAGACACGAATTTTTTAAATTTTTTTTAAGTCCTTTTAAATATACAAAATGCTCCAAAATTATTCCAAAACTGTCTTCAAGTTTAAAATTTTAAATGTAACCCCACATTTTTTATGGGATTTATAGATTCTACGTAAAATCTAGTAGTAGATTCTACGTAAAATCTAGTAAATTCTAGTAGAATAGTATTTTTCATGCAATTTATGTCGATATTCACCTCTTGTTTGTTATAAAGTGGTGGAAAATAATAATTTTCGGCTACTCTTCTACAACTAATAATTTCAAACTAACTAACGTAAATTCGTGGTAATTAATTTTCAAATCCCAGTGCAGTGGAAAAATTTGCAAATGAATTGTAAATAACGAACAATTCCTTAATTAAACATAAATAAGAAAATCTGCTATAGCAAGCGGAAATTATAAAAGCCCACTCAATTGTCATTTTTACCGCCATAACGGACCATCGAGTCAAGTTAATTGGCATCACGCTCTCAAGAATAATTCCGAACAAAAATATTTTTACAGTAATAATAATTATAAAATGTCATAGTAATATTGTAACAAAGACAGCGAAAGCAGAATAGACGTCTTAATCACATGTTATTAAGATTCCTTTTGCGGAAAATGGAATCACCTTTGAACTGATTTAATTATAGGAAAAGGTAGAAATAAAATGTAGTTACCTTTGGAAGGTGCCTATTTTCTTGACGGCCAATCATACAAGGCGTTAATCTCTTTAAGTAGATAGAGTGGTGAAATACTGAAGCAGTTATAATTGGAAACAAATGTATAGGAAATGCACGAATCATTGACGGTCAATGATAATAAGAAATGAATGAACGTGTTGGTGTTATGCCGGTATAATTTATTAACCAATCAGCCGGCCAAATTCTTCCACTTTCGATGAGGAATATTTTATACATTCAACTAGTGGAATTAGCAAATAATTAGTTACACACGTGAATTGATCTGAGCGCATTTAGGAATTCATGTTTTACCGAAGAGTATTTTATAATATCCTCCAGCAAATTGTTATTGGATTGCAAAATGGATCAACATAAATTGATGAAAATTGATTAAAATAATCAAAAAGCTGCGTAGATTGTGGAGTTGCAGCATAAAAATTCGACACATTAAAATATTAATTAATCACAAAAATGTATACTTTAAAAACCGAAAAAGCAAGTCGAAGTAAATTTATTTAATTCATACAATATTTCTCAAGATTTAGAACAGAGTATTGATTTTGAAGTCGAGGAAAACTTTTCATATTTCCAATCATTAAGGTGAAATTCACCTATTTTTATTGAATTTTACTCAATTAAAAGTTATGGTGGGTTTAGTGTTCCTTGACACATTTGTAATAACACTAATAATTCGTGTCAATGTGTCAAGTAATGCTTTGGTAATTTTTGTCCTTTTGCATGGTTTAGTATAATCGTCGCAATTTTTCCACTTTTAAACAAAATTATTTATTTAATTTAGTTTCCACTTTATATGATTAATCATGAGTAGTGACTGCTGCGGAGAAGTACAAACTGTTGACCTTCTACACGGTAAGTACAAGGAAATTTATTTAATTTTCATAACTAGTTTCAATCGCTATTTGATTAAGCTTCAAACCGATTGAACCAACCAAGTTCCAGTAGGCAGTCGGCTAGACAAAACAAGTAAATTAGACTATAGTTGTGGTTGAAAAGTTTTTATAGTATGGGAAGCGCATCGAAACCATCTCAGTTATTTATTGAAACTTCAAATTTTTATTTTCCAGGTATTCTTCCTAATATCACGCCCTTTTCATTGACGGGTTCTTTTTCCAAGATTCCAGATTCCAGATTCCTCAACCAAGAGCTAATTTTTTTAAGCATTTTCCCTTCTATTCTCCTTACATAACTGCCTTTGAGATTAAGTTTTGGATTTCTCCAACTTCCAAGTTTCCCCCATTCCTGCTGATTCATTTTAAATCCAGATTCAAAAAGTTCTTCAATCTGCATTAAAGCTTCAAATGTATTAACGACAGAACTAAATTTTACTCATTTTTTGAGCCGGGAATTGCCTCAATTCATCAGGGGATATTTGTATGTTTCGACTTTCTACAATTTTCTTAGTAGTACCAGGTAAGCCTGAGTAAACTTTTATGTTTCTGACGATTTCTTAAAGCAAATTTAGAATAGTACGCAGGGTAAAAATACATTTTAAACTTGAAAGTTTTAGAAGCAACATAAATGAATGATTTGTTTCCTTCTTTTTGTACAGATCAAATTTCCAGCAACATCATTGAGGATGACAGTAATACATCTGAAGAGCTGCCCAACGACATAAGATTACAAGGTAACAAATCCATGTTCCCAAAGTAGTTTATTAGTCAGTCACATTATTTAAATAAAAGTTCACGCCTCTTTGGCTTTCAAAGTTTTGATGGAAGGAGCTGCTTCGATACCGTGCTTGAATGTAATCTCAGATAATTTGCTGCAGAAACTTTTAAACGAGTAATTCTTCTGGAAAACCTCCTTGGCCACATCGCCTATAAATGATTGTAAATGAGGACTCATCATGAGTTTCCTCAAAACTTGCGCCATTGCATTGGGATCGGGTTCAGTCGTAATTCCGGAAACTTTGTTCTGAAGCAATTGAGGTGCAATTCCTTTCGTTGTTGCCACTATGGGTTTTCCTAAACTCATGGCTTTTAAAATAAAGTCCGCCTGTAGATCGGACTTAGATGGATGAATTGCGACGGCCGCCCCCATAATCAGGGTTTTTTCGTGAATTATTGGCAGCTTATTGAGAAAGCTCACTTGCGAGGCGCATTTTCTCTCTTTGGTTGTAGAGACCATTTCTTGGTAATACAGTTTCTCCTCCAGAGTTTTACAATTTCCCGCAATTACTAGTTGAAAGCATTTAGTGGTTTCTATGTCAGCAATGAGTTGAAGTAGTATTTCAAACGCATTTAAAGCCAACTTGAAGTTGGTGGATCTTTTGTACTTTCCTATGGAAAGGAACACAACCGTGTTGTCCATTAAGTCTGGAATGATTCGTTGAATTTTGATGCCATCTTCATTCCAAAGCCCAATATCAATTGCAGGATAAATAATAACTGGTTCCTTAGCTACTGCTGGAAAAGACCTTTTAAATACTTCAGCAAATCCGTCAGATTCAACAACAATTTCATCGGCCAGTTTTATAAATTTTGCTTCCAGCAGTGATGGACTGTATGTGGAATGTTCGCAAAAATCTGCCTGGTTTCTAAGCTGCTCAAATGATTCCACATAAAGCAGTCGATTATGTGTGAAGAGATTCAAAATGTATAAAGCTATAATGCTGGTGTCCAGTATAATTAGGTTGGATGCATTCTTTTGTCGAGAAAATACCATTCTTAGGGCCAAACATATTGACTTTAATATCGACATTTTTCCACGGAAAATTCCAAATAGGCTATTTGGGATCCACCAGCCAGAATATCTAATTTTTATTTTATCTAAAAACTGTATTCAATTTTAAATGGGGATATATTTCGTGAAAATAAACTGTCTACCTTAAAGTCGTCGATAGTTTCACTTCTGTTATACTGGGAAGTGTACAGCACAACTTTATGGCCCATTTGGTGATAGGCTAAAGCCAAATTCAACAGGAATCGGTCGCATTTTCGTTTCGCCAATTTTTCATGCAGAAATATGATTTGACTGATATCAGGGGGTGAAGGATGAATTTGATCTTGCATTTTCACAAAAATTACTCAATTTTGATAGACTTCATTCTGAACTGTAACATTGTCTGAATGACATTGTAATACATTTATGATATAATTTATTAGGAAGTTAACAACTTGTATACATATGTGGGAGTCTGCTGAAAATTGTGCAAGAAAATCGCTCTTTTTTCAATGTAAATTTAATGCTTAACTATTTTAATAATCACCCAATTTGGCAAATTTTCAATTTATTGGGAAACAGTTTTTCGAAAAAACAACCTTTTGGAAAATTGAAAAGGAGTGCAAAACTTAAGTTAAGAGAGTTTAAAGATAGCATAAACAATTTTTAGGCAAACTTCAGATAGATTTAAGTTCTAATAATGCATTTTTGAACCAGAAAATCGCGATTTTTGTTGGTAAATATTTTACGCTTTTAATTTTGACCCGATTTTAATCTTTATTTGGAAACGAGCAGTTTTTCCTAAACCTCACCCTTTGGAAAATGAAATGGGTTGGAAAGTTATGAGGGTTTTCAAGTCAATTTTGCAACCAAAATATTATTAAAACACTCTATGAATTCCCAGAAATTTAAGAGAAAAAACCTGCATTTTTTGACAAAAATATTGTTTTTGCTGTGGAAACTTCCGCTATAACTCTCTACTTACTCTTTTTTTTAATTGAGGATTTTAAGGTTTTGACGATTTAAAGTTTGAAATAAGAAATTTAATAATTTCTCAATACATTAAAGTCGCAAATCCAAATTTTTGGAAAAAACTGAGTCCTTGAATTTTGCCTGCATAACTCTGTTGTGAATGCGATTTAGAAGTATTTTCCAATCAACATTTTCGCACAACTCTGTTAAGATTTGTAAACTTGAACATTTGTTGGAACGAATACGATTTTCTCTAAAAACCATCATTTGGAAAATTTAAATATTAATAGTTATGAAGGTTTCAATTCCGAATGGGCATTTTTTCAAGTAAAATATTATTAATGTTTTCATTGTTGGTGGATTTCCAGTGCATTTACGGTCGAAAACACCCATTTTTAAAAGAAAAATAAATGTTTTGAATGTGGAAATTGTCTGCATAACTGTTAATACTGGGCCCATTTCGAAATTTTAAAATTTTCTGAAAAGCACAAAATTTTCTCAAAAAAATGTAGAGACTCGAAATCGGTGGGGAACTCAGAAGTTATGATAATTTGAAAGTTTTAAATATTTTACCACTCACTTCAATGCAGATATCGAAGAACAGTTGGAAAAAGCGGAATCGAGGTGCAATAATCTGAAAAATCAGTTGGATTACATGAAACAAATTTATGGATCTAATCGAATTGAACCGACAAAAAACCGAAAGATTTCTCATGCCAAAAAATTAGCAGGTAGTTGGATTAGCTGTTCATTTCGCAAATGCTTTTTAACCCTGTTAGTGCTGCGCAAAAAACTGAAAATGTTAATAGAGAATCGCGCTAGATAATATTTTTTTAGAAAAGTCACGATAAACATTTTGCTCATAGAAAATGATTACAAAATTTCTAAAACTAATAAGTGGACAAATTCAGTTTAAATTTGCAACAGTGTTTACTGTGAAAAGCGATGAATTCTTGAAAATTAAATTTTCATGGTTTATGTAAGAAGATAAGAAGCTCCTCAACCCCATCTCGTTGGTCGGCGCTAAAAAGGTTAAAAATTATTTAAAAAAATTACCAAAATAATTCATAGATGGGCATTTATACATACTTATATTGCATCATTTTCGTATTAGATGACAAGGAAACTATTAATGATACAACCACAATTATTGCGGACATCCGACAAACATCTGACCATATTGAAACAGACAATACTGGAGCTGCCGTTAAAACGATTAACAATATTCTAAATGGAATCACGAATTCTGTGAACCGCCTATCGGAGATTCACTCCCAATTAACATCTCCACAAATTAAAATGTCCACTGCTGTATCTACAAGTAAGCACTTTTATCCCGTTTTATTTTCCGTTTCAGTAAAAAGCAATTGCTTTCTAGAAGAAGAGTTGGGAAGCATCAAATTTGTAGGTATTGTGCCAGAACTAAAAATAGAAAGTACCAATATCTTGACGCCGAAAACCAGAGGACAAAAACGGAAAGCCGCCAAGAGCATCAAAACTCCTATTCAACATTCACTTAAACAGCCAGCACGAATTGAGAAGAAAACGAGATCAGTTATAGCAAGATCCAATACAGGCTTGGAGAACAAGTCTTCGACAATCATCAGAAGTCGCTATCTAAGTAAATTAAATTCGAAAAACAATAACTTGGTGGAAATTTACCACAACAAGGCGGTGAAAAACAGCGACTCTGATGAGAGCAACTTGAAGAAATCCAGACAACACGATCGAGCTAAATCGGAAATGGTTGAAAACGATATACCGCCGCTAAACATCCAGGCTGCAAATGCAGGCAAAAGCCAGCAATATGATCAATCAGCCAAGAGCGATTCAGCCTGTCCAAACGGATTTAGAAACTCATTTTCCTGCGATCCGCCTCATGTGCCCAGAACCACCATTAGCTGTTGCTATAGCAGAAACTACGAACTTCCAACAGTTGCTTCCAAGATGAAACAAGTGGCGAAAAGTTATCTGGGCACGCTCAATTTGAAATCGATCCCATTTTGTGCGGCTATTTCAACCACTCAGAGTCACAATATCGGGATCAACATACAGCAAGTCATGAATATTATTAAAAATAGACAACCGATCCATGGAATATCGCCCACGTTGGCTCATAACATCGGTTTAGCTGCCGAAAAATTAAACAGTAAACCGTTCTCAGCTTTGGTTTCATCTATAAATTCCAAGATTTCGTAAGTAAATATTCTGCGATTGATTCTTAAGCACTGTGTATGTAAAAGCTTAGATAGTTTCGCTGGATTCCAACTCTAATCTATAAGCTCCATACTTGTAGAAGGGTTGCTTATTAATATCGGAATATTCAGTCCTAATGCTTTTCTAAATGAGTCACTTGTTCTGTTTTTGCAGAGAATGCAATTTTCAGGTTTCTTCAATTTTTCAGGCATGCTGTATCCAAATGTCCCTTATCGAACACATTTTTAAATATGCAACAGTTACAAGAGCAAGCGAAAAACATAGTTGAAGAAACCATCGAAGAAGGAGAGGAGGAAGAAGCAAGTGAATCTCCCCAAACCCACACGATGATAATAACTGGTAAATTACTATAAATAATGATGAAATCAAGTGATCGGTAAATCATCTATAGGGCCTTCGGGTGACATGGAAATCGAAACGAAAAATGTTCCAAATTGGAAAGTTGACAAAAGTAATGCGAGTGAGCAGTGCACTTGCATTTCTCAGCCCGGAATAGGATTTCAACAAATAGCCAATAGATATCAAAGAAATATCCGTACTATAACGGAAAACAGCTTAAACACCCAGGTCAGGTGCAAACTAAACTAATCATGTTTGTTTCTGAGCTGATTGTTCAATTGGGAGAACCAATTTTTAGAATGTCGAAAACCAGCTGAAGAAACGACTACGACGGTACAAAATAACCAAAACCAGCTTTATACCAAAAGAATCCAAGGTTCAAGAAAGCCAAGTTCAAACAGCCACAACCGTTAATCAGGAATGTCAAAAGGAAAGTACCCTAAGAGGAAGAGAGAAAAATCTGAAAGAAGTTCTAGCAAATTTGCATCACGATTTTGACTCCTTAAACAAGTACGTTGCGCATACGACGCTTTTTTTTATAAGTAGGATTTATCATCGCCAAATGTGCTTATCGCATTTGAAATTTGCCATCCTAAACATGGAATAACTTTAGTTTTAAGGAAGTAGCGTAGCACGTTTAAATGGTTTTAACTAAGGCATGTTTGATATTCAAGCTTACACACTTTGGATGTACATGATTTGCAGGAGATACGAAGATCTGTCCCAAATAAATCAAAGCGACGGAGATGACACGACAATAAAAGAACTAGAACGACTAGAAGTGGAGCTGAACAAGAAAGAAGAGGAAATAACAATGGTGATGACTCTCTACAAAGAAGTGCTTGCTTTGAAGCAACAAATCCAGCAGCTACGAGACAAACGGAGCGAATCCAGTTTGCCATCTAAAGCGACGAAGGAAACGAAAATCAAGTTCAAAGAGTACAATAATCCGGAAGCAGCGTTTCATCTAACAAAACTGTTAAAACAGATTCAGCATTATCAGTCAAGATACAGATCAAATTTAAGTCAAGAATAAATAGCGATTATATGTATGATTGTTTGCTCGCTTTTTTCGTTCAAAAGTTCCCGTCCAGGCACCATTTAAGCAACTAATGTTAAATGCATCATCGTCAATAATTAAAAATTTTTATTTAAGACCCAGGAAAGCAGGGATTTTTACTGTTGACGCGACAAGAAGGAAAATGTACAATCACTGCAAATACGTTTCAATGTAACAATGTTTTTGTTTTGCAAGTTCTCTAAATTTTCTTGGTCAGAATTCTCCAAAGCAGATCAGAAAATGCGTCGTTATTTACATGTAAATGGCGTTCCAAACATGGAAACTTGTTTAAGTTTGGAACAACGTTTGAATCTGACGATTGTGGTTTTTTCAGACATCAGACATCAGTTTTTTTCAGATAGCGAAATTTGCTGGGCATAATTGTTTAAGAAAATTACCTCACTTGAAACCTTATGTGAAAATAGAGGCATGTTTCTTGAGAGAAAAATTCAGAACACCAATAATTTTCCAAATATTAAAAAATTAAGAGCTTGCTTTGAATTGACTTTCTCAAGCCGTTTTAAGAATTTTATTTTCGACCGATTTTACTTTTCTTATACTACAGATGAAACATCGAAGTTTACTAACCATGTACAAAAAAATTTCAAAGCCAAACATCGTTTTAACCTTCTGATGGCGATTATTCCAAGCTTCAAGTATTCTTTTGAAGAGGAAAGCCCTAGCAGGTCTTGAGCATTTTTTCTCTGGAATGCTCAATAGGCGCAACAAAAAAAATAAATTTTGCTCGCATTTTTGCTTGATGTGGCAACATTTTTTACTTTAATCGCCTTTTCTGGTATATGATAATTAATAATTTTATGAATTAAAGTGAATTCACGTAAATTCTCAAGAGTGCTGAACATAGGGCAATTAAATTGTAATCAGGCCTCACTGAAACGTGTATTAATTTGACCAAAAAACAAAATATGGGTCGTAAATTAAAGCAAAGATAAACATCAGCACATGATTTTAACTAAATGAATCGTCTAGCCAAACTTTTAACTAGGGGTAGAAGCGGCCGCGTGTCATCGTTTAGCGCCAAAGTAACCTCACATCACCCTATTAAGAGGGGTCAAAGAGGGACATTTTCACCTTTTCGACCCTCTAATAATGGACACGAGCTGGTCGCGTGCAGGACAGACGGTATGCATCAATCTACATTAAGACTAAAAGCTTTCTTAATGAATTAGGACCACAAAATGTTGAGGGCAAATAGATGGCGGCTGCTTTGTGGGAAATGTAAACGAATCTTTTGCTTTAAAATTAAAACGTTGATGATTCATTTCGAATGGAAATGCAAATGTACCCACTCATTAACGTGGAAGCGCCAACGCTCAGCATAGCGGAAATACACATTTAGAAAAAGTCGAATGCTTAATTGTGCGTGAGACTAGCAAACTTTACTAGGTACTATAATTATTTTCATTGCATTATCGAATGTTTATTCTTTGTTGTTGTGTGATTGCTGTCCCCATTCGACTTAAGATGTGACTACTTATACTAACAACACTTAATTTAAAGATAATGTTTCTTTGTTTCAAAATTGTTTTTGAATCACATTAACAGAAATATGTCATTGCTTGTGTACGCATCAATTCGAGGTTATGATTACAGCAAAGTTGAATTAACCGTTTATTCTTATCTAATTTATTGTCACTTTCTCTATTTTTCCATGGTTACCGAATTTTTTGATAATTACAAAGCAACAGGTTTTTACATAATGTTAATTAGGCAGATTACCTTGAAAAACGTTGTTGCCACTCTTCTGATATAGCTTTTTGCAAATTTCTCAGTTTAAAAATATATATTTTTTTGCAGTTTTCCTGTACTTCTAAAACATCCCCGGACCAAACCTCCAGAGAAATGGCGACAATTTTGAATCACACTGAATAATTTAATTTTAAACAATTTTTTTGTCCGATTGTTCGGTCTGTTGTTTACTGTTTTAACATAATTTCATAAGGCAAAATCGCCTATTTTTACGAAAATAACTCAGGACCAATAGAATAGGAAAAAGGCAAATAGAATATAATGAAAAAATAACAAGAATTACTCAAAAAGAAAAAATATCCTAAGCAATTATCGAAAAAAAACGTCCATATATCATCACCCACCTGTCTGTCTGCGACAGAAAATCAATTTCCATTAAAGTAATGTGGGGAATTAAATCTGAATGTATGCATTTTTATTTGCATGTGCAAATAATTGTCACCCAGCCGAAGAAAATTACAGGGCAGAATACGGTTGTGTCATCAATGGTAGAAAGACTGATAATTTGTGGTTAGAGACCTCACGGGACTTTCCTGCAGATTACTGTTATTTGCTCTTCGATAAAAGTACCAATTACTCGGAGTAATTGATACCATTCACACTTGGATTTCAGAATAATTATTGCCTTCTTAGATGACTTTGCTGACAAAATCATCTCGATGAAGATGTTCTGTCCCTGAACGTATGTTTTCCCTTTTCCCAGTTTGCATCTCATCATACAAAAACGCGAAAAGGGAGTTTTGATTTTGACGATTTCAGACTTCAAATGCTCACCCACAAAAAAAAAATCCAAAGGCATAAGATCAGGAAATCTAGACGGCCATTCTGTCGTTCCTCTCCTTATACGATTTTCTTTCGTATATTATTTAATATACGACTTCTGCATTCTTACGTATATTATTTAATATACGGCTTCTACACAAGATAATACAATCTCCATTAATCGAAAGTTTAATTGTTTCGTCTGTTATTATCGCCATAATACTTTTTTGAGTTTTAGTTTAGTTTTGTCTTCAGGTTGCTGTCAATTTGCAGCGACGAAATTAAGACAGAAGATTTTTTCCCCAACAACCCTAATTTTGAGTCACTTTAAACGAAAACTTCCATAGATCTCAAGTAATTTATGTGCAGCCAAACATGTTTTATTATTCTTTTATCTACGCATTTACCTCCAGCTCCACTCTCTACTATTTAAAAAAAATTATCTACGATATTCAGTAGGTTTATTGACATGCCAAAATTCTGATGAGTCACATCGGATTAGAGAGTGAAGAGAAATAAAAAAATTTCAACAAATTTTATGTTTTGTATCAACTTTACATATTTACGTGATGTAATTCATCTACAGTTTCAGAATATTAAACAGTCTGACTCATAAAAACATTTTGCGGTTTAAAAGGCTCTTGCTCTTCTATAAGGCCACATTTACCAAGCAGAAATTGTAAAATTGTACACTAGAGTTGAATTTATTCAAATTTAAACCCAGAAACTTATCACATAAAGAATATGCAAAATATTAAATATTGAAATTTCCCATCTCCATCGAAACACACAATGCTTATGATTAATAGGTCGTATATTTCGTGATTTTTCAACAAGATGCATAAAAATAGTATTTTAAACATGCGTATCAATAGCGACGTTTATATCATTTTAATAGTAATAAAATACAAAAAGTATATATAAACAGGCAGTAGAAATGAGCATTAGAGTAGAACTGTTTACGAATATAAAGTACTCTCCAACCACTCCTCCAATGAAAACGTTGCGGTGTTGATTCCAGTTTTATCTTTGGCTTTAAAACAGTCTGCAAATAATAAGCAATAATTTAGATGGACAGAAGACTCAAAAAAATTGAGCAATCCTTAGGAATAGTCGAAAAAAAAAAACATTCCATAAACACTTTACCTATCATCGTTTTAGTCTTCATTGCACACATCATAAAATCATCGAAATGTACTTCTCCCATTTTGTTGCCGAAACGGTGCATCAAAACGTTGAGAACTCGATTATTAAGCCGATATCCTGCAGACTGCAAAGCTTGCCTCAGTTCGAATCCACTGAATGTTCCTGATTTATCAGTGTCATATAAACTCCAGACATTCTGAAACATAATCAAACACTAAAACACATCGATGTGACAAAGTTGTGCAAAAAAGTTAGGCGGTTTTTCATTAACTTCTGCACTTCAAACACTAGTTAAATCAATTAAAAAAACTGTTTTCAATATTACGCAAAGGCAAAATAAGCTTGAAGCTCAATGTATTAAACAGTTGTTAGTGCTACGGCAAAATGTTTCCAGTTTTCTTTCGTCCAAAAAATTTTGGCCACTTTCTTGGACACGTTTATTTATTTAAGGCAATTGTTGAAACTCATTCTTAAAGCTAAACATTTGACTAAATTTTCGAAGATTTTTTTATTGTCGGTTCTACTTCACAATGTATTGATTGAGTCGCGCGATTGCAGAAGCTTGCAGCCGTTTTGTTGCAAATTTTGGAAGTTTCAAAACGAGTATTAAAAGCTAAACGTTGTTTAGTTAACTATGAAAAAGATAACGTTTAATTTGTAAAATTGCTCAAATTGTTTTCTGCAGCGGCTACAAAAGATTTGAAGCCCCTTTACTGGATGGAATTTTATACAGATTATCAAACTTTTAAAAACTGTAAATTTTAGAACAATCGTTGAATATTTTAGCTAGTTTCTTGGGCCTGATGAGAGTTTTGCAATAAATTGTGCTGCATTAAAAGGCTTGAAGTAATTTTATTTGCACTATTCGTTTATTGCATCTCAAAAATTCCCTAGTCAATGTAACATTTCTTGGCCCAATATTAATTTATTGTATTTACACTCCTGTAAGTACAAAGAATCCTTTCTGGGTCCGCCGACTTCAGCAGGCTTGAAACTGGTTTATTGGGCATTTTCAATGCCTTAAAGTGTCTATTAAAATATTTAAAATGTGCCCCTTTTCAGAGCATTTAATGCCTATTTTATGCAGATCGTTTTTTCAATCTGCAGAGAACTTTTTCTTTTTAATACAGTTGTGAATAAGTGATTTTTCGAACGTTTCTTGAATTATTGAGACAAACTATTTTCAATATTGTGCCAAAGAGTTAGGAAGCTTGAAGTCAACGTACCAGAACTTTCAGGCAACTTCATTGGGCACTTAAATACAAATTATAGACAATTTTAGTGCCACTCTTTGGTAGAAATAGTTTACCTTCCAATCCCTAAGAGACTGCCAGAGACTCTTAAATTCCTCATAGCCGAGTTTGCCCGATTTGTCAACGTCCATCATAGCAATCATGCTTCGGCAGATATCTTTTGAAAATCCGTCTCTGGTTAGAGCTAAAAATCAAAAATATTTCCGTTAAAGCGCCGATTTGTTGTTAAATGTAAATGTGGGTCCACATTGTTCGCGAGCAGCAAGAAGAAACAAACTGCATAAAAATCGCTACGCGCTTCACATCCTGCTGTAGATAAATCTATTTAATATGAGCTTGCAACCACCTAAAACCTTGATCGGTTGGGTAGCAGTAGATGAAACTAATGCATAAGCTCATGAGCACTTGGACTTGATTTCATGATTTTTCTAATGTCTCCAATCCAATTGGTCGCTCTTAGCAGAGATTCTTTAGTAATTAGCACTGTAAAAACTTTTCTTAACGATTCAAACCATTCTGGCAAACAGCACAAACACAAAGAATTAACGCGAACACGAGCACGAGCAATATGGACCCCACTTTACAATGAAATGTGCAAATTTTATATAATATTTACAAAATACAGCATGCCAGTTAGTAAATAAATCACACAGAAATCCTTGATTAATTTCCATGCACATGCACTACATGCTCAGCATACCCGCAAAAGTGGTTAGCAAAGGAGCTCGTTGAGTCGGCTTCAGTACTTCGGATAGTAGTGGAGAATCCTTGCAAAAATGACCGCATATTAAGCCTAAAAGTTGACTGAAAAAGTTGTCGGTTTCAGTTTGGGGAGCATCTAAAATGGCTGGGTTTCCTCTCGGTGGGGCGGCGCTCACCCCATTTGCCTCCTTCTTGTAATACACGCCGCTTCCACTTTTTAATTCTGGTACAAATAGTGCTCGGTTAGAGAGAACTAAAGGTGCCAATTAACAAACGCTCAATAACATTTTTGATTTTGAAAATTTTGATTATTTTTTTGAAAACGCATCTGAACAGCAAATTACATTTTAAAGTAAAAAAGGAAGAGCGCTCATTTATTCTTCTTACAGCCGACGAAAGAAGCAGGCCGCTATCGCTTACCGTTTCCAAAGATTTTATTTTTCCAAATTCCATTTTAAAGTGTCACTTTTAAGGCAAGGAAATTTAAATTGCTAGTCAAGTTTAAAAGGAAATCATTGGCAATGGCGTATCAAACGGTTGCAAATTTTATGCACAATTATTTACTCTAAAATCAATACAGCGCGCAAAATCAATAAAATTTCTGTGTAATACAATAGACTTCGACCAACCAAATCCATTCAAAAACCGCTGTCCAGCGTTACCACTTTCTGCAGAAACAAATGTTAAGCTCCGGGCTGGATAAACAGTGCTTAATATCAGCAAAATATGAAAAAATCACCGAAACTTTTCGGAGAATGACTCAAAATCGAAACGTTTTCCGCTGATAGAACAAGCTTTGTGCTACAAGCGTGATAGAAAATCAACTCTCTACCTTTGCAGGTTCCTTAGGAAATGAATATCAAACTTTGACCTGCTGAAATATCCGCGAAAACTACATGTAAATGCGAAAAAATTGTGGAAATGGCCTGATGATGACGGGGAATTGAAACTTTTGACCCGCACTACTGCAAAATAGACAAAATTCCTACAAAACCGGCTTGTTCGAATTTTTTCTTCATTTCTTGAATACCAACCTCCGACCTGCAAAAAACCTCGTAAATCAAACGCAATTTGAGCTGATCATGATTTTCCAGTTTGAGTCATTTTGTATGCATAAATCCTCAATCTATGATTATTTTATGAACAGGACGTCCGAGGACAAGAACTAAGATGGCGAACATCCCGCTTCTATTCATTTAAATATGATTATTCGCGCCAACATGTGGGTACCTTTAAACCGAAGAAAAGCCGATGCTTCATGAAGGTAGCACAACTTCCAAAAATCTTCAGCTCATAAGATTCATATAACAAGAAACTGATACTGAACGACTTCGAACATCGCCACCTTGAATCCGTAATTGTTTCACAGGTAGTCACAGTAGGCCAATCAACCTGGCCGGTTATACGTTGTTACCTTGGAAACCGCTTGGCATGTCAACATAACAGCCTGACTCTTGACTTCTTTTGTGTGAGAGCTGCGAACGCATTAAACCTCGGAAAGAGTTTAATGATTTATTTTCAAATGATTGTTTTCAGTTTAAAATGTAACTGCTTATAACTTGTATTGTCAGACGAGAACAAGGTGAAGACAGATCGACAATCATGAGAACCATACCAAAATGGGTCGATAAGATACAAGACAGTGACAAGAATGGGCAGAGGTAAGTGGAATTGGTTGCTTTCTGAATTCTATTAGATGGACTGGATTTGCAAGAAATGTATGATTAAATGATTAAATGTTGATGAATTTGGCAAAAACGGATAAAAATTGAACCGTTTAAAGCCCTGGTTGGCCAACAAATCCTATAGACGCGACCAAGTTTTTCCCACTGGCAAGTTCAAATTTCCATTGATGGATTTTTCAATCAGTATATTGGCGCAAGTTAAAAATTAAGCGTTAATCATTCAATACTTTTCCACATAACAGCAGTATTGCAAACTGACGAAAGATTCTGCCTGCAAAAATTTTTTTTGACAAAATCTCCACCTGATAATGGCAAAAAACACAATGGCCGCTTTGAATTTTTCCAAAAAAAATTGAAGACGTCTTTTTTAATATAAAAAATGTTCGTAAATTGAAGCAAGGATCGCAATTTTCCTTTTGAAATGCTTGCTTATATTCCAATAGGCGACCAATCAAACATGGGACCATTTTAAAATAATACTTAAGAACAAAGTAGAAATTCGATTTTCAACTGTTAAAGCAGATAACCCCCTAAATTTTAAATTTTAAATCACACTGTATTTGCACAGTTATAAAAATTCAAACAAATTAATGTTGGAGTTTCGTTCACCCTTAAAGCAAAATGTATTTCAGTATATACGACTTGTGCTTCAACCCAGATGGCACCCAACTAATTGTCGCAAGTGGCAACCACGTTCTGATCTACGACACGACTGAAGGCTCCCTTATCCAGCTCTTGAAGGGCCACAAAGATCAGGTCCATACAGTTTCTTATGCGAAAAATGGGGAAAAATTTGCCAGTGGAAGTGCAGACAAAACAATCATTATCTGGTCGAATAAGTTCGAAGGGCTGCTGAAGTACAGCCACAATGATTCCGTACAGTGTGTCGCCTTTAATCCATTGTCGCATCAGTTGGCAAGTTGCGCACTGAGCGATTTTGCCTTTTGGAGCTCAGATCAGAAAGCCGTTCAGAAACACAAGGTCAACGTGAGAATTAACTCCTGTTCTTGGACGAACGACGGGCAGTATTTGGCTTTGGCTTTGAACAATGGCGTTATTTCGATTCGGAACAAATTAGGCGAAGAAAAAAGCAAAATCGAACGACCTGGAGCGGCGTCCATTTGGGCCATATCGTGGAGCACATTTAAAGGGGATCAGACTGATATCTTGTGTGTCACCGACTGGAATAAGGTTTTATGCTTTTATACCTTGGGCGGGAAACTTGTAGGCAAAGAACGAAGCATAGGGTATAACGCCCTGCGAGTTCGGTACTTTCCTAAAGGAGACTACATATTGATAAGCGGCTTAAACAAATGTTGCAAGTTGTATACGAGGGAAGGTATTAAACTGGGGATGATCGGAGACCAGCAGAACTCCTGGATTTGGTGCTGTGAAGCAGATCCAACCGGCAATTTTGTGGTAGGTTTAAATATAACCAGTAATTGTTTAGGTTTGTGGGTTTTTCAGTCAATAGATGGTGGCAAAAACTAAACACTATTTTTTCATGGGCCGACGTTTCGACTATATTTAAGTCATCACCGATTGACCGAAAAACTCACAAACCTAAACAATTACTGATTATTTAATTTGCGCCTATTTTAAATCAACCTATATACTAATGTTCCAGGCTCTTGGCTGTGAAGATGGAACAATCGCCTTTTATCAGCTCGCATTTAACATGGTCCATGGCCTCTACAAAGAACGGTATGCGTATAGGGAAAATATGACCGATATTATCATCCAGCATTTGATTACTGAGCAAAAAGTCAGAATCAAATGTCGAGATATCATTAAGAAAATTGCCATTTACACCGACAGGCTTGCAGTAAGTATGTTCAACTACGATCAGAACGTTTAGTGGATAAATCGGTGAATTGAGTCAGACGCAGGGGCGAATCCAGCTTTAAAGTCAGGGGGGGGTTATGTAGAAAAAATACAGTTTTCTGTTATCTATGAAATTAGAAAAATGATCGTCGTTTTGTGCAAGGGTGGCGCAAGATTATTGCAA